CCCTCCTCCACAGAGCACCTGTGTCTCCATGCCTCAGTGTCCTGGCCCTCTCTGTGTGTAGTATGTGCTCCATATACATGCCTTTCCCCTTTCACCTTTTCTAGTCTTTGGCTTCTTAAAACCCTCTGAGCACTATTTCCCTCTCCCTGATGAAGAACTCATTTAGACTTAATTTGTAAATTGTCTGAATATCAGAGGGCAGAGGAGGAAGATCAGTCACTCTGATTTTGTGATATGGCTTCTTTCCCCTAAAAGAACAAGTACAGCTCCTGCCTCTGCATGCTATCGAGAAAGAACTGCTGCCCTGTGTGCTCAGATAAGGAAAGTATATATTTGTTGATAACTCCTCTTCTTCCTCACCATCCTGATCACTTTTTTCAAAACTCTCCTAAATATGAGAGTTTGAATTTATTACACGTGTCTGTATGGCAGAAGGAAAAAGACAAAAATAATTTCTGGCTTGTGGCACGAGGAAAAGAGATTCCTTCCACATCTACTTTTAAACTGAAACATTCTTGATTTTAGTTGTTCTGGCAGACCTGAAAGGATTCTCCCGTCCCCCTGACCTCACTGGCGTACATGGATTGCTGCTTATTGAAAAGTAATCTTCTGTCATGGATTCTAATGGAAAAGTTTATATAAAATGTCATTCTATATATATTTACATGCATTTTTAAAACAATATTTGTTAACTGAAAACTTTGCCAGTCACATCTGAAAAAATACTGGGATTGGTTTTGGCAGTCCTGAACCTTAAAAAATAGAAAGGCGGTATTTTATAAATAGAAATTTTCTTCTTTTGCATCATGATTCTTTAAGCCTTTTTTATACATGGGCAAATATTTAGACTTTTGTCCAAAGCACTGATAGCTGGAATATTTACTTAAATCAATTCTACATGTCCTCTTGTATGATGTAGGATTGTAAGAAGAAAAAGCCCAGATATCACAAACCTGATAAGGTTTGTGATAAAGTGTGAGCACAGATGGCATTACATGTCTTCCCCCACTGCAAGGATTGTCCGCTCTGTTTCTCTGCACAGGCTTGAAATTGGTCTAGTCAAAATGGGTCTATTTTTGTCCATGCTGGCATGGATTTCACAGCAAACATACTTTGTCCAGAGGTGTCAAAAGTTGCTTCTAAGGAAAAGTCTTGAGCATTGATGGGTCAAAGGCACACAGTATCTGGCTGAACTCATCTCTGTTCACACCTCTGTCCACATCTCTGTGACAAGTACTTAAGGCAGCTTGGGTGATGCTGAAATAAATAGTATTAAAATTGAAAAATGATCCTTTCTGTGAGAGTCTTTCATAAAATGTGATAGAAATAGATATGGCCTGAAAAGCAACTAGAATGAGGGGGTTGAACCAGGCAATTTGCTTCTCTAGTTTGCAACCTGCTGAAGCATCGTGTCACAGTTGTGTTTTAGGCAGCTCAGAAAACTAAGTCTGTGCCCTGGGGGTTGTGCTGCCTGCCTACTCCCTTCCTACAATTGGAGTCCCTGAGGATCTCCTTTCCTTGTCAAGATTGTTGTAATTGCATCATCTCCACGGGCTTGCTCAACACTCCAGTGTACCTGTCCTTTGATAACAGTGGCATCTTTTCACTTTCCTGCTTACCACCTTGTCTTCATTGCAGAATCAGGACCAAGCTTTTTGATTATGATAATTCTTCCTTTCTAGTAGGATACTGCAATCATAAGAGACATGAGGTGAGTTTTTTAAAACTATGGTTCAACATTTAAGAACAAACAAAAAAATCCCCCAGACCCCATTGTATTGATGCTGTACAGCTGAGCAGCTGCTTTAACTTGTCTACAAGACCTGACAAGTCAGGACAAGCATTTCTATCCTGAAGGCAATGGTGATAATTCAAAAAAAGCATAGATGCTAACAAGTCCTGAGAATCAGCAGAGGCAGCATACCTCACACAGAATACCAGTTTCTTGCTTGTGGGATATCTGACATCAGTCTGATTTAACACAGGAGCGACACACTGCCAAACTGTGCGGCAAGTTTCCTGGTAGTTTTGCAAAACCAAAGTCTTGTAGCAGAAAGGGAGACAGAACAAATGAGGTCCCACTATGAAAAACAGTTTTGGTTTGCTAATGGGGGGTGCCTCAGCAAAAGAGAACCTGGGGCCTTTGTTGCTGTCCTTCTGGTTATGGTTGTTGCCTGACTTTTGGGGCAGATGTTGGAGGAGTTGACTCATTTTCAATAATTTTTCTCAGCAATGAGAGTTCTCGCTCTGTCCTTGGCACAGTTCTTGCTATCCTATTTGGGACTTGCATGGTCCAGCTTATTCTCCCTGAATCTGTTGCCTTTCTAAATCTCAGTGTGAAGGTACTAGACTAGAAATCCTGTCCTGGGAGCATAGGCTACATCAGGCCTTCAAGAATCTGTCATGCATTGCACCCCTTCACATGCTTCTATTGTGCATCACTGTATCTCTTTTCTCCTTTACTGTGTTTTTGGCATCCTGCACTGCCATGTTCCATAGGCTGGGGGAAGGATGCCATGGGTTGACTTCCTCAGTGTGTGTCCCACTGCTGACTGTGCCCCAGCTATGCCAAGCAAACTGTCCCGCTCCCACCCCCCTCCCTTGCTCGCCCCAGATTGGAGCCCCCGAGAGGTCTTTGTCGGCCTGTTGAGAGCAGCCCCCGTTCCTCCATTCCCACATGGCGCACCCTCCCCAGCAGCCCTCTCTGCATTCAGCAGTTTGGGCTGAAAGAACCTTGGCTAATTACGCTGGGCTGAAAATTACCACTTTGCTGTGTTGTCCTGCTGCTGGGCCCATTTGTGTGGGGCCTGTAGTTAGAGGGAACAAAGTCCCCCCTGTGGAGCCAGGCAGGCCCCAAGTGTGAAGCTACAGGTACAAGCAAGAGGGGAATGAAGGGAATAATTACCAGCTTCTCCAGGTGAAAGCCCTGTTAAAACTTCAATAAGCCAATTAGGGGCCAGGGTGTGTGTGTGGGGAGAGTCTCCCCCACCTATAACTGATTCCCACCAGGCAATTAACAGAAATCATTTCACGGAGGCGAGGATAAGAAATGGCTCTTAGAAATTGTCTTGGGTTGGGGGGGCCTGAAACAGCACGACTGCTGCAGTGGTCCTCATGTACTCCAACCTCCCTGCTCACTGTGTGGCCTGAAAATGTTGGTGGGGCTAGAAGGAGAGGGAGGAGGGAGGGAAAATGGCAAAGAAAAAGGAATCGCTGGAGCTTTACACCTGGACAGGCTTTGAGAAAGTGAGGGCTGGAGTTCAGAGCTTCTTGTAAGGCTGTGTGTGGGCCCAGAGCACTGAGCACAAGGAGGCTGCTAGGTGTGGGGAAGTGGGCAAAGATCAAGCTCAGGGTGTCTTCCTCATGGGGGTAAGGGGGAAGGATAACAGGAGCAGAGTAGGGAGGAGAAACATGATGGGTGTGAAGGCTGGAAGTGGGTGTGCAGGTTGGTGAGAACTGAATGCCAAGCCCTCAGAGATCTTCCAAAGATGCATGGTAGTCTGAAGGTACAAATGGTGTCCAGTGTCTAATACTGTGCACGTATCTCATCCAGGGATCATGTTTTTCTGCTGCTCAGTCAGCAGCTTCACCTGTTCCTTCCTTTCAATTCAATCAAAAAACCCATGGAATTTTTTTAAGATGGATATTATCTGAAATTATCTTGCAACTCCTGTGTACTGTATTGCAGATGGCATGTGCAGCAGTTGGAGGTAGAGCATGCTTTCTGGTGGGTACCTCGCAGGAGTCTTGCTCACTGGTGTTTGAAAGGTTGCTCTGGGGAGTAGAGCAAGAGTAGTGCATAGATGAAGTTGCTACAGATGGCTGAGATTTCTGTAGTGATGTTGGAAGGGAGAATGTACTGTGTGAGTAAAGAAGTTTAGACCAGTTGTTATTTCGCCTGCACTTGAAAAAGAAGCAAAAAACCCAAATAAACCTTTAACTCCTCGAAACACAAATGCAACCTTAGTTACATTTTGTAACTAAGTTAAATGTTAACTTTCGTTGAATTTCTAATGTTATAGCTACTGAGCATTAAAAATGTTCTTTGAGATTTTGTTCTGGTTACCGATAAGCTGATATAACTGTGCTGTAGTGGTGTTTAACCACCTAGACTCAAACTGATCTGAAAGTCCCTGTATTTCATCTTTTTTCTTCTTTTTTTTCCTTCCTTCTCTTTCTCTGCAGAAAGCTCTTTGTGGTAGGAATAGAGAGCTGTACCTCTTGCACAGCCCAGATTCTAGACTCAGAAGTGATTTCTCAGCTGAGTCATGTTTCTTTACTATTCAGCTTCTAAGATGTAACCCCAGTGGTTGCCTGCAAAGAGAGCTCTTCTCACAGAAAAGCCTGGTGGGCATGCAAAGACAAATCAGTTTTGGCATGAGCTTTGATTTTAGATACAAGTGACTCAGATCAGTGCCTGAATTATGTTCTGGATTAAAGTTCTGTTGTGGTTAAAGAGTCTCTTTTTTCCTGTAATAACAGTAATAACTTGAACATCATTTGGAGTTTAAATCTGGTCTTGAGAGATAAGGGGTTCTTGTACAAAGACCTCTGCATGAACAAATACTTCATGCCTGGTGAGCCCAGAGGTTTGGGGAGTGAGGAAAGATGAAGATTGTTGGACATACCATGTAAATATGTATTTTACACTGTTAAAAATAGGTTATCAAGACTTTTCTTCAATAAAGGAGCAGGGTTGATGTCAAATACTTGTATAGCTACAAAGGCAATTCTGTTTGAAGTTCTGAAAAATGACAGCAGCATTGTGAAAAGCACTGTTCCAGTATTCCTCTTGTACAGGAATACTCAGGATCCTCAATCAGCTTTTATAGAGCTAATCTGAATGCTGTCCTTTTGAACACTTGCTTCTTCCTAAAGCGTGTGTCATGTAGAGTATTGGGGAAAACTATGATCCTTAGGTGTGAGCAGCCCTGGGAACATCAGGACTGTTTTGTGGATTGAATCACTAGTTTCGAATCAAGGGTATTTTCCCATTCAATGCTGAAGTGTGGAAGAGTGTGCATGTATTTGTCCTGGACAGGTCTGAAACCTTTGTCTTGATGTAACTGAGCTCAGTTTTTTTTCCAGAAATGAGGATTGTGTTCTATATCTGGTGGCTTGTTTTCACAGAACTTACCTGTACCTGCTGCAAGGCTGCTGAAGGGACAGTGATCAAGATTGCAGGTGACTTGGGCACTGAGTATGGGATGAAACTGCAAAGCAGTGAAGGCAAGATGGAAGTATCTAGGTTGGACACCTGCTAAGCAGCTTGCTAGATTAGGGGTGATTTGTCTACCATGCCAGTAATCGGGCTTTTGGGGATATTAAAAGCTTTTTCTGTTCTTCAGCCTGAGCGCTTCTGAAGTCTGGAGGAAGACATGAAGTTAGAGGCTGAGGAGGAAGGTTGGAGAGGTGAAGCTGATGTTCCCTCTACCATGAGGCATGAATACCTCATGAATACCTGCCATGAATTACCTGGGAGGCAACAGCCTCTATCTCATGAGCTGGAGTTCTGCCTCAAATGTGACGTCATGTTTCAACCCGACATCTCTACAGTGCCCTTCAGTTCAAAATGTAAACGCCTTCTTTCTGGGGACCACTTTTTAATGGTCCACTTGAGGTGGCATATGAATGAGTTATTAGTCTGTCTGTTCATGCATGTGTCACTGGTGCTCCTTGCAAGAGCACAATATTTCCTCTAAGAGCAGTAGTGGTTGTCAGCTTTGCAGGGTTCATGGTCTTCTCTATGCATTTTGCTTTATCTTTCTGCTGAGTCCATGGTGGGTTGTGGCAAAACTCTTCTGTACCTTCTCTGTGTGACATTTATGAGGTGTATCAGGAGCACAATTTAACTCTGAGTTGACTGAGATGCCTTGGGGGTTGCTGTAGCATGGACATGAGCTCAAAGAAGTAGCAGCAAACCTGCGAGAGCTTTCCAGTCTGTTTCTGGAACAAGCCTGGCTATTTGCATTCAGCCACTGGGTCTTCTCAGCAAGGTTATTCAACAAAGATGAGGCTGTCCTGCAGTGGGATTCTTCTGCTTGCTAAGTGAGCTTTAGGTGCAACTGTCTTACCTGCTTATTTTTGTTGAATTTATGGTTACAGAATGTTGACATATAACCCAGCTGTCTTGACTTCTGAGATACTGAAGATGCTTGGTTCAGTTCTCTGGTCATCCTGCAAGAAGTACAAAGTATGACTAAAGGAACTGGTCTGGTACAGTGAAGGGGCAACACCAGCCCTGCATGACCACTCAGTCCTGGGTTTGTCCAGCATTGCCTACATCTAAGGCGGATGGTGTTTCTTACATGTTTGTGGTGCCTGCTTGCTCATAAAGAAGAAAATGCTAAACTGATGCTGTGCTGTTTGGTTTTTTTTTTCCTTGCAAATTAAATGCCTCTTGGGAAGGAGCACTTGCTTTCCTGCACTCTCTGTCTCTCTCCCTTTGTGTGTATCTGGTCTGTTAGAGAAGTCTCATGCTGGAGGTGGCGAAACTCCCTGTGCTGGGTTTCTGACCCCCTCCTCTCCCCTTCACAATGTTGTTACTGTTGCATCTGCTCTTCAGCAGGGGCTCCATCAAGTTTGTGTGACCTTAGCACTGTATTCATGTTGGAGGAGTTACCTTCCATAATGATGTCAACTGATGAGGTTGGCGGGATGGTGGCGGCCGCGATAAGACATGACATGTTCTAATGATTCGCCTTAGCGAGCTGTGTGTGTGTGTGTTGGGGGGGCACAGAGGGGCTTGGAGAGGGGAGGTGGGGGCCCCACAGGTGCCGACAAAGACTTTGACCTTTGCTGCTATAATATCAGTGTTTCACAGGCAGGGCGGTTCGGTAACCCACTTTCAGCCCATCAAAAATTGATTTAATTGCAATTTTTTCCCCCAATTAGGAGCACTGGAGCTTAACTAATTGGAGTAATAGAGAGTAATAAGGCTCTGATAAAAAGCCTTCCTCTGCCTCCTTTGTATCTTGTGTCATCGCCTGTCAGAGGTCAGAGAGCTTGCATATTCTATTAGGCAGAGTTGCCTTCATTTGTACAAATTAGTTTACCCAACAGTAATTAAAATGCCAGTGCGGGTCGGGGAGAGCTGAATACAATTGATGGGCACATTGGTGAAGGATTTGACAGCTCCGGTGGCCTCCCTTGCCAAAGCGTGTCAGTGCTGAATCAAAGGCTACACAAACCCACAGACCCGTGCGTTTAACCCGCGGCACCGTCAGCACCAACTGCTCTCTCCCTTCTCCTATCTCCCTTTTGGACTTGCTTTCTCTTCTCCTTCTTTTCTCATCTCACTTGAGACTTTTTAAAATAGATGTTTCCCATCTTTGAGCTGTCCTTTCTGTTGATCGCTTTCATAACACTGCTACCAACCCCCCATCCTGTCTCCCTTGGTTCTCCCCCTTCTCTCCACCCCCACCTTCCACATTCCCAGCTGCAGGGCTCTGTCAAGTAATAACTTCTTTGTTTCTCAGTCCAATGAGTCTCCATATATAATAGTTTCCAAAATGGAACAACGATGTCCAATTCCAGGGGGCAGGGGAGCGCGCCAGGAGGAAGGAACAGGCTCTTGCACGTGTCAAGCAATTCTGGATTTGAAATCCCTGAAGAGCAGAATAGAACTAGAGAAGCAATCTGTTTACAGTACAGGGGAAGGGCACAAGCCTGGGGAACAGGGGAGGTGTAGAGAGAAGAGGTGGAAAAGGACCTTTTACCCAGGTTCCTTCAATGAATTTGTGTTGCAGGATTCCCAGCTCAGGCAGGACTCACTCTGGAGGCTGGGTTGATAGTGGGGAAAGTATATGCTGTTCAATGTGATTTGCATTTCTGGAGCTGAGACTGTTTCCAAGCCTCAAGATAAACAACATCTTTCCAAAAGCACTGATGGGCATCTGTCCCTCTGGTTTGCTCACATCTGTCAATGGTCTGTCCAGGATGGGGTAAAGAGGGGTGCTACACAAGTCAAACTGTAGCTGGCACCTTGGGAGCAGCCATGGGATTATTGCAGCTGGTGTGTAGCCAGAGCACTACTGCTGTTGCCAGAAATACCATGGGATCTTCAACAACCACAAGTCAGTCAGATGGAGAGTTCTTGTGTTTCTTCCAACAGCACTGCCACGATGTGTGTTCTCTTTCATTTCCTGGCCCAGCTTATATTGTGGGGGGGGTGATGTCTAATGAAATGCCTCTTCTGCAACACAGAGAAAGTCTGGCTTCTGGAGAAGCAGGCTCTTGATTGTTTTGTTGGGTTTTTTTCCCCCTCTTGTTTATTCATCTCCTCTCTGTCAGTAGGGAGTTTCAAATAAGAAAGACGACATCAAAGTATCAGATAAGTTGGAAGATTCCTTGTGTTGGATATCAAAAATATACTGTTTATGAAGTATGTGTGTCTCAATGCTGTGCAAAATTCTTGCCTTCCTGGTTTGGTTTTTGGCTTGGTTTTGGCTCCTAGGGGATCCCTGTGAAGACATCATGGCCTGTTATGGAATCCCTACAGTGATGCTTTTTTACCCCTTAGAAGGGCCTATTAGAGGGAGCTTGTAGTCATGGTAGCCAGCAGCTTTCAAAGGAACTGAGGGAAGCTTAGTGGGGAAGGGGCTTTACACCTCCAAGGCCATCTGGAGACTGGCCTTAGCAGTTTTCGTGGTGGATGTAGATGCATCTGATCAGTGTCAGTGTACATCAGCGTGTTGTATATACTTCAGGGAGGTGAGTCATGCCTGCATTAATATGTTTAGGGTATCCTGTACTCCCCTCTTCCCAATCTAGTCTCTCCTTAGTCTGGCTGTAGAAAGCAATGTGGGCAAAATTAATTACACTCTCTAAGCTAATAACTCAGCTTGAATTGTTTTTCTTGGGCAGCTGGCAACAATGGCTGTGAAAAAGCTGCACTTCTCTAAGTTGGAGGGTTTTCTTATGTGTGCTCTGCAAGACAAAAGAGCCTTTCTGAAGAGAGACTGAAAGAAGCAAGCCTGATAGAAGGCTTCAGCTCCACTGAAAGAAGTTTCAGAAGTTTTGGAGCCAAGCTTTATATGCTTTCCTCCAATCTGCATGTTGTTTTAGACATATGAAAGCTAACTTGTGTTGGTCTTTTGCCTGAAGTAAAACTGTTACCTCTGAGAGGTTCCCAGTTATGAGACACCTGAGGTTTCAAGGTGTGTGCCTGCAGATCATACTCAAGGTGAGGGGCCCTGTATCATGCCCTGGAATCCAGACTTTAAGGTCAGTTCACTCTCAGGCTTGAGAATTTCTCATTGGCACCACTTCTTGTGCATGTTGTCTTGTGAATGCTGCATTCTGATGCTGCAGTGAAGGTGGCCTGCTCTTGTGGGAGAAGTCTTATCTTTGCTTGCTAATGGGCTCAGGCTGTTAAAGATAAGGCCTGCAAACCTGATCCTGCTGAAGTATGAGACAAAATTCCTGTTGACTGAATAGAGTCAGCTTTACCCAGAAGAGACTTGTTTGTGGCCCTGAGGCCTGTATTTGATGCTGGAAAAAAAATCTCTTTATCTAATGCTTTTTTCTCTTCCTTTTTTTTTTTTTTTTTTTTTTTTTTTTTTTTTTTTTTTTTTTTTTTTTGTCTGAGGGGTGAGGGGTAAGGACCAAGGAGAGAAAGCTGAAGTCCAGAACTGTCAGCATGAGGGAGGATTAGACCTAGCTGTTCCTCCCACTTTTTTCTGCCTGTTGGTGTGCCTCCATGGTAATTTAGACCTGTGGCAACCATCAAAGCCTTGTGCATACCTTCTGCACAAAGGGGGTCTGTCTCCCACGTGAGGGTGTTCTCTGCTGGGACAGAGTCAGTTTGTCCCCCAAAAGAAAGATCTTAAAAACCCAATTGCCTGCTTGACTGACTCCCTGACTGCTATTATGTTTCTAACCACAGTAATTGACTTTAGTAGTTATTAATGGATTATGACTGAGGAGGGGGGACAAAACCCAACACCTAGCTTTGTAGCAGAGGGACCTCATGTCCAAAGTGCTGCTTTCCAGACATGGGGCTTGACCAACAAGCTGTCGAAGTGGGTGTCTTTGGCTTTTTTTCCTCTGAGATGGGTGACACTGGGAAAAAGGGAAATGGTCCTTGCTGTCCTGGAGAGATGGGTGACACTGGGAAAAAGGGAAATGGTCCTTGCTGTCCTGGAATATGGTAGAGAGAAGGCAGGCATCGAGCAGAAACCGTGTTTCCAAAGATGAAATGCTGCACACTTTCTTAATTGATCCTAGTGGCTGCTGCACAGCAGCAGGAATTTGATTTTCCATAGATTCTCAGACTCTGGTCGAGGATTTACAGTTGGGACAGTCCAGTGCTGCAGGTGCTTTGGCTGATTGCATGTGCACTGTGAATGAACCTGGAATTTTGCACATATGACATCCTGGTTGGAGACACTTTGAAATAGCTTTAGTTCTGCAGGCCTTTTCTAGCCTAAAGGGCAGCTAAGGGTCACAGAACTTGTGGGCACCTCCAGGTATGTGAATTTAGGTGGAAGGATAGAGTAAGCACAGAAGAGAGCCTTGGTAGCTGAAGCCCTTTCTATGTTCTTGTAGCTCTTTGAAATGGTTTAATGTTATCTGCTTTGCCTCTTTTGCAGAGTGTTTTGTCAGTGCTGCTTTGGCCTTATGGTTTGGAGAGGCTAGTTGCTCAGCTAAACAACAGAGATAGGAGTAGAAGGAGTCCTGAGTTCCAGTCTTGCTTCCATCTGGTCCTTCTCTGGCTTTGATTGAGTTGAGGCTGTTTACCGCTTGGCTGCTGAGTGCTTTCTTACAGCAGCAGTAGTGCTTCTCACAGAAGTCAAAGATGCTGCAAGAATTCATTCCTGGTGCAGTAGCAGCTTGCAGACACCTTGACTTCCAAAGAAAGAATGTTGTCGAGGATCAAAGAAATGTTTAAAAACTGCTTTAACTGCTATTTTTACAATCATGACATTGTTTTCTTATTTTACTTTCATCTGTAAGCTGCCAGCCCTGTGTCATACTGCAAAAGTTCTTCAGGCAAAGTGTAGAGATGGCTTTTATTTAAAGCAGATTCCATTTCCTGTATTCATGCTATCCTTGTTGCATTGACTTAAACACAGTTTTGGCATTTTATTCTTGGTAGCTGTAATAAATATGGCTTTGTGAGAGGTCATTTGTAACTTAATTAGAAGTCCTTGTATGAGCTGCTTCCTCTTATTTGGACTGAGAATGGGAAGCTGGCACAAAACAAGCAGTGTGGTGTGGAGAGCACAGCACCCATGCTCCTGATGTTTGATTTTAAGAATTTATTATGTCTTATGAACTAGCATGAGGCCAGTGGCTATCAGGTGATCTCTGGCGGCAGCATGTGCAGCAGGGGCATAGCATTGCCAAGAGGACTTTGAAATGGACTCT